CAGGAGGTCGGGTTACTGATTTACATGTTCAACAGACTTCGAGAATGACCAACGATCCGCCAAAGCGCACCAGGACTCGGCGCCGTTCCTAGGCGGAGGGAGCTCCTCGCGCGGGAACCGCAACAGGTCGCCGGGCGGCACACCCACCAAGGTCAGCTGGTGGTCACTGCATTACTATTCGCAGTTCTTCGACGTGGACACGAACGAGGTCCTGCGACGATGCGTTGCGACGCTGTACCCGCGCAGCAACTTTCTCGACGTGCTCGAGGGCAACGCGGACCTGTACGGGCCGTTCTGGATCGCCACCACCGTCGTCGTCATCCTGTTCCTGACTGGCACCATCTCGCAGTGGCTGTCCAATAACGACGACCAGCACTTCGAGTACGACTTCACCCTGCTGTCCGGCGCCGCGGGCCTCGTCTACGGCTACACGGGCCTCATCCCTATCGCACTGTGGGGCGCGCTGCGCTGGTTCGGCAGCTCTACGGCTGACCTGATCGAGTGCTGGGCTCTGTACGGATACTCCAATCTCGTGTGGATTGGTGTCGCCCTGGTCAGCTGGAGTCCGCTGACGGCGTTGAACTGGGCGCTTGTCGGCGTGGGCTTCGGGTGGACTGTCTTCTTCCTCTTGCGGAACTTGTATCCCGTCTTGAGTGCCACGGATGCCAAGGCTAGCAAGATTCTGTTGGTGCTAGTCATTGTGCTGCATGCGGGTCTCGCCATTGCTATTAAGATTCTGTTCTTTGCGTAGGTTCTCCCATCCGACGCGCTTGCTTAATTATATGCTAACGACGTTCACAGCCACGGGAGCCCCGTCTCCAAAAAGAACAAGGACAAGGGCAATGAAGGCGACAATAAGGACGGTGAGAAGCCACAAAGGATGATGATGATGTAGAGAAGTGGAGAAAGAAAGGAAAGGATTGGACTATTGTGCAACTTCTGTCACAGAATTGCACTATCCCTTCGTTCAAGGTTGGTAGACTTGTTTAATTTCGCTCCGGTAGCGATTCGGCCAGTATCACCCTCTGTTTTGCGTTCTTGTTCTCGATTCTTCTGTCCTATTCCCACTTTATACTTTGTGTGGCAGATTTATCCGTTACGGTGTATGTATGTACCTCTACGAACTTGATTTTAAAGGTTAATCGTATTCTTCCTAAACAGCGCCATTTTCACTAGGTCTTTGGGCTTTTCCATTTGGTTTAGCTGCTGTAGCTCACTATCTAGCATGTCCAAGAGCCATGTCACAGCCTTGTATATCTACTGTAGTGTTTGTCTTGGGTCTGCAGAAAGGCAAAAGCTAGTCTGTACTTAGCAGGTAGTGACATGGCAGATATATATCACTAGTACTTAGTAACACTTTGATTCTAAGCGAGGCAGTGAATAGTTCCAGCCCATGATATATATATCTCTACTACTACATCCTTTTCCTCTTATTGATTTTCTTCTTCAAACCTTCACTCTTCATCCTACTTCATACCCACTCGTGTTCATATGAAAAATTAGACTCGCGCGTTGGCCACCATACCGCTCAGCCAGAAGGGTATCAGAGATCGACTCTGCTGAGTGGTTCATGAATAGTGGCTCATATATCACACATATATATACCTCTGTCACACGGAGGAAATATACTTTACAGAGCTCAAAAGTGTCACTATATCTTTCATACCCAAGCAACATGTCTCTTTTATTGCGACAACGTCCTATTCTATAAATTTCCCCATCGAACGGAGAATCTACCGGGGCCTCTATGGCAGGCTATATATATCTCCGCCCATTTAAGCGGAGCGCATTTGGAGGGAGCAATCCCCGGTCCGCTCATAATCCTGATACTTGGTTAGTGGATAGTCGCCAACTCAAATCTTGTCGTCGAGATATTTGATAATGCCGAGTTAGCACATCGGCAAAAGCTCCGGATCGCGGGACTGACAAAAACAATAAAAGGACAAAATCTGGTGCGTTGCATTTCGTTCCAACTCTTCAATGGCTTCCGCTAACTTTCTACAAAAAAATTCCAAGCTGCATACTGCCATTTCCTCGGAGATGCGCAGCTCCTGTCCCTCTAAACACGAGCACTTCTACACCCTTGTTTGGGCCTAGGCATGTATCTTCCCGGCGATTGCTCCGGCTGTCGCTGGGTGGTGACGGGTTCTTTAGATAGTATGTAGCCTCTAGTTTATCAACTATGTAATGGGATTTAGGGCCGGTTTTCTTTCTTGAGGCTCTGACATTAGGGCTGGATTTGGGGATGCTTGCTGGTGTTGTCTGGGGGGGATAGGGCATGTGGATGAGTTGTAGGGGATTGGTCGCACTGGTCTTTCATGATGATGAGGGCGGAGACGGCGCACGTGGAGGGAATGGAGATAGTGTGAATTGGCCATTGGTTAAACGGGGCTTGTTAAAACATGGGTGAGGTCCTGTTAGCTGAGATTGACGTTGCTCCATGTTGCTGATCGTGGTCCACCCGAAAACTATGTAGCGACGTAATTCCACGGCTATCAATTTAGGTCAACTTGAACAGCAGCGAATGAGCACTTGAATTGGGAAGAGAATAGGTGTCCATAATATCCAAGGCCAATATACGATTTCCAAGGGAATAGTTGTGGAACTTGTGTGAATGTTTTACAAGAGCTTGATTGCAATTGAGAGGCGCCGTCACCATTTGACTTGGCTATCATGTTTTCTTTTATTCAAATATCGTATGAAAACCTCCCGAGCTGCAACCGGACCATCATAAACCCGTCCGACTCTTCTTCCCAGCAACGTAGAAAAACCGTAACATGATGCGAATCGTTTACTTCAACTTCTTCTTGGGGCGGAGCTGGTTGGTGTGGCCGCACTTCTTCTTACGGCAGTTGGTGGCACGAGGGGGCAGACGGGCCTGTCGGATTGATTAGTATGGCTGGTCGGGTGTCTTGTCTCACGGGTCGTTCCGTTCTGGAGGGGTCCAACGTACGTAGCACTTGCGGCAGATGTTCTTCTCGCAGTTGTACTTGGAGGCGAGGGCCTTGAGCGAGGGCTCGATGATACCACCACGCAGACGGAGCACCAGGTGGAGGGTGGACTCCTATTGGTGTGGTCAGCCAATGGTCTCAAACCCAATGTTATATATCCTCCGATCTAGACTCCAAAATCCCATCTCTTTCATGATAGCGACGATGCGGTCCCCCCTGGTCTCACACGATAGGTCCGGACGTTTCGAGACCCATGCGACCGTGGAGACTGCCCATCCTATCATATATCCCATCTGATCCTTCCCAATTCCTAGGGTAATTCCGTACCTTCTGGATGTTGTAGTCGCTCAGGGTACGGCCATCCTCAAGCTGCTTGCCAGCGAAGATCAGACGCTGCTGGTCAGGGGGGATGCCCTCCTTGTCCTGGATCTTGGACTTGACGTTGTCGATGGTGTCGCTCGACTCGACTTCGAGGGTAATGGTCTTACCCGTCAGGGTCTTGACGAAACTGTTATCCAATCCATCAGTTCACCGCTCATTCAATCACTGGTTTCCCTGTTGGTTTTCTTGGGGTGTCGGCCGGGTCGGTGGCTAGCCATATCGATATGGCCGGTCGGGGGGGAAAGTATGGTGGTATGTAATATTGGAGGAAGACCTACATCTGCACTGTGAGGGCGCGCGAAAAAAGTCCATGTTAGCAAATCATCCAGCGACAACAATATATCGACATTAGGGGGTATCTGCACGTACTGGTTGCGGCTTTTCGTTTGTTGCTGGCTGACGATCGGCTGGGAGTTCGCGGGCGGAATGAGACGATGTCAATTTGAGGATTTCTCGCTTAGCAAAGGTGCATCGATGACTAAGGCCGTGCGCGGTTACCCTAACCCTACTTTCCCTTTTCGGTCCCGAAGCTTATCCCCCGGATTGATAGCGTCATTTCTTCTTTTCTAAGTTTAGTCGCTGCTTCGTTCCTTCTTATCTAGTTATTCGGCGACTTGACTGTGTCTCCGCCGTACGGGCTGGACCCATGATCCATCCAACTTGCCTAATCGAGTCGACTGACCTCGCCGTTTTGGTATCCGCCGAACTAGACATCTCTCCGACACATGATATCAACGTGAACACGAGCACGCAGCGACAAGAGTGCAGTTGTTATATACAGCGCATCGTTTCTTGGGTTATGATAGTTTTCTTGATGGTTAACGGACAAGAAAATCGCCCATTATATGTTGAGCCCTCGAGACCTGTCGCATCGCCTTCCATGCGGCATAGACGCGGCCGGATTGGTTATCTTGCGGCTTGATTAACATGTCGACAGCACGGCAGGCGTTTTCTTGTATGACAGGGTAGTCTTTTGGCCGGCTTCTATACGTGGGACCAACGCTTTCGCAGACCCGACTCATGGCTACGCTGGTCTGCCCGGTGCCATCTCGACTGATACTTTTCGACTGATGCATTTCGATGCGCGTGTAGTGATGGCAACCTTGTCTTGGGGGATCTAACGAGCGAGTATGCGCCGCATGTCTGAGTCTGGGCTCTGGTGTAGCATCCAAGGAAGGTCGATTGGAGAAACTCCGTAGTTTCATTATCTCCAGTAAAGGCGAGGTATTTATACTAAGGCGTCTACTGCCTAATATACTTGAACTGGGCTCTTGTCAACTCGACTTTCAATTGGCTGGTGTCATCTTGATTAGAGACCGGGGCTGAAGGCGTATGATTGACATGTAATGCATAATATGAATCCTTTCTTCTGGGAAATTATCTCATTGTAGTTGTTGTACCTTTCTAAGTATCGGTGTCACTTATCAGAGCTGCAAGGAACCATGTAGGTACTGGCAATCGCACTGGCAGAACACTGTAAGAGCTATGTCAACCTACCCAATTGACATGTTAAGAACCCGATGATTTTTCGGAGAGGACTGAATTTTTTATTAGTTTTATCAAGCGGTAGAGAGATATTTTTATCAAAAGAATAAAATGGTAAACAAGAAGGAAGAGTGGTGGGCTGATAGATGGATGGGTCAAAAAAACAAAAAACAAAAAAGAAGTCGCCCGAGGGGGGTCTCGAACCCCCAGCCTTGCGGTTTACTTGAGATGCTGTTGCACCGTAAAAGCCGCACGCTCTGACCAATTGAGCTACCCGGGCTTCTTGTTGGAATGTCGGTGGCAACATACACTCTATGTGGGATGATAACTTAGATCCATCTGAGCATTCAATACCCTTTTGAGGAGACATGATTAATAGGTATGATTGGATTGGATTGGATGAAGATACCGAAGATTGAGTAGAATGATTTTCAATACTGAAGGGTTTTGTATGAACACACTAGATAATATCTGGAAATTGTAGCAATACTGGTAATTCCCTGTAATGGCCTGGTCAAGGCTGAGGTGGGAGGTTGAGAATCGTGGCTCTCGGTGCCTTCGCGTAGCTGCTTCTCAACTATATCGATATGAAACAATAAAAATAATACAATTATTTCTACGTTAAGCACAAAAGGTAGTAAATTTATGAGATATATAATCAAGCTTCGTCAAGAAGCTACGTCTAATAAGTAAACGACACCATATACTATATAGGCCGTACGGCTCAAGATTCATCCTCCAACTCAGGCAGGCTTTGATCATCAGCTGGATCATCTCCCTCCAGCCACGCATCCGACGACTCCATAAAGTTACTTTCCCGTCTTTGATCATCTACCCACCGAGAGATTTTCGACTCCGTCTGATGAACGACCCGTACAAGGGTCGATAGGGATATTCCAGTGACTTTGGCGACGGTCTCATAAAACGGCTCAGCCTCGTCGGAGAGGTCCGAGTCCAGGCGATACCGCTGATACTCTGCGCCGGGCCGGAGTATATCTGAGTCGGGAGCTCTGATGGCCCTGCGTGGTTTCAGCTGACTCGAGACCGTTTGAATCATTGATTCTATTGCTTCTTCCTCGTCCTCGTGAGTATCAGCAGGCTCTGCCTGACTCGGCGGTCTGGATTTCCCGCGGAACCGACCGAGGGGGAAGAGATCTGCTAGGAAATTTGAGTTTCCTAGAGAAGTCAGTCAGTGCTGCTGTTCACGGTAGAGGCATATGGAAAAGTTTTGGGAATATCTCTTACCGCGACTAACATCCAGCCAGGAGTTTTCGTACCAATCCATATACTCGTCTAGCTGGGCCGGTGACATGTTGAACACGTCATTATCGTTTACGAGAACCTCTTTGCCCTTTCCAATGCGCCCCCCTGAGGTCTCTCGGGCATCGAAGTGCCTTTGAACCTGGGCCCACAGTTCCCAATTGACAACCTGGGAGCTGGGCTCCCGCGTCGACTGGGGATATCTTTTGATGTCGTCGAAAGGGAAGAATAGTTTGGTCGATATGACAATCAGTGTGGCTAGTTGTACTTCTGGTAGATGCAGGGCCGTGACTCTGCCAGTGACACGCTCCGGGAAGGCAAAAGGGAACCTTGTTATAGTGTTTAATCTGTGCACTCCCGTGTAGATCTCAACTACAAAGGATGTCAGCTAAACTCAAGAAAGACATGTATTATACCTGGCCATACTTGGTACCGCAAGCCGCTTTATATAGCGATATAGAAGAGGGGGCAGGTTCAGCCCAGGAAACTCCATCCCAAACTGGTGTCTATACCACACCGAAAGGTCCAGAGCGGCTTTGTGAAGATGTTCCGCTTTGGGCAATCTCTGCCGATTTGTTAGCAAAAATCGACCTGGTAGATTGAGCCGGGCGTTCTCACGGTAGTTTCCAAGAGCGAAAGATACTCTTGGGGCAATCTGTCCCTCATCTCCCGGGGGATCGCCAATATAATTCTCAAAAACGGGACCTCCCCCCGCATGAGCATCCTTGATGCAGTCAGACAATGCAACTCCTATCTAGTCCATGCGACACTGGAAACTCACCGGTGGAAATCCGCGATACTAATCGGGATTCTCATCAGCAAAGCCGCCAAATAGCAAAGGGCGATGCTATCAATGAGGCGGGGCCATTGGAGGTACTTCGACCCAATTTTGGGAGCCTCGGTGTGCTTCTCTGCTTCTGTCGCCGCCGCAGGCTGGGAACTGCTGAAGAACTCCGGTTCATCTTTCTCCGAGAAAGTATTGATTTTGTCCGAAAGGGTCTCCAAACGGAGCGCCCATAGATCGCGGACGATGTTCTGGACATTGCTTTGTCAGCCCCTTGCGACTGCCGCAGTTCCCGATTGAGCCATAGAGACCGGATGGAGGTGGAAAATATATTTATATGTATAGACTGGACGCACCTCTAATTTAGCTGGAAAGCCTCGGCCTTGGACCAAGGCGTGACATTGCTTCCAGAGGATCAATTGATAGATATGCAGAAACAGGAGATATGCATGTTTCCCCTTGTATGCTGCATTTTATTAGAATCGGGTTGTGCCAAATTCGACGAGCACTGCGTCCACAGCACCGATATATATACATACTCTTGGGTGGCTTCTCCCTTACAGGCTTTTTCAGACGAGTCACTTTGCCTTGTGTGCCAAAATCATCCGCGTCTTCCCCAATTTGCATGCCCTGTCATCCAAACTGGTGAGCCGCTGATCCAGCAGGCGATGGCGAGGCGGCGAAGACTTACCTCCTGTTGGTGACCTCGCCGACAGTACCAGAGGCCATTCTCGATAAAGTATCGAGTCTCACGGCACCCTTCCTGCCCGCAAACTCCTCGGGATCTGGCTTCCATCCCAAACAGCAATAGCTCATGGTCTAACGGGAGTCATGGGGGATCGAGACCGGGAGGCGAAGAGTTTGGAGAATCTTCGCAACGCGCGGGTAGATAACAGAAAGATCGATGTTGTCGGATTCTTCTACCTTTTTTTATGGTACATTCTATTTTTTCTTTTCCCTCGACACGTCTTGGCATGCCAGTTTTCCAATGCACGCGACTCTCTTGAATATATGCATGCACCCTTAATTATGATCTATCGCATGGATCGATATGCACACTTTCCGATCGACCGATTATGCATAGCAAATTGAGGCGATTTTACAACTGCAGCTGTCATGTCTAATGGAGAATTTACAGGAGATACAGATACAGGAGGACCGCTTTACACCAGATCATGCGACAACCAGTGAGGTTTACTAGATTAGGTACTCTGTGTGTGTTTTTTGTTTCTTTTTGGGTTCATTCGTCAAGTTATCGTGAGAGTGATGAACTTAGATCCACTTCTCGGGCAACAAAGTAAACACGCTTCGTGCCGCTAACTCCACAACTCTTTCCGCAAGCTCAGCGTACATCCAAGGCAATACGGACGGATATAAGATACGACCAGGTTATTCACCCAAAATGTCGCGCACTATCCACTCAAAGCTAACGGGGGGGAAATAGCAGTTCGGCCATGAAAACACGAAAGGGTTAACGGATTAGGAAATGGCTCATGGTTCTAGCCGTTTAGTTGCCCTTGGGGGCCTCCTTGACATCCATGGCACGCTCCTCACCCATAGCAGTGAGGACGATGACGTCTGTATACAGTGAGCGATGTGAACCAACAGGTAGAGAGGGAGTCCATGATCACTTACTGCAGTCCTTCTCCTCCTCACGGAACATCTTGGCGATTCTCTCTCCAACGTCATCCTCGGGGAGCTTGACGTCGTCCTTGGTGTTGCCGGCCTCATCCATCAGGGACAGGAAGTCGTCATCGGTGATATCCAGCTAAGAGCGACATGTCAATTGAACCGTTCGGAATCTCCGACTCAGGCGGGGGGGGAAGACGACTCACCAGCTGGTACTCCTTACGGGCGACGTTGGGGACGTCCATGTTGTGGGTGGAGGGAGACAGATCTTCGTACTTCTTGCCGGTGAAGATGTCAAGAGCGACCAAGTGGACCTTGGCGTGACCGTGCTTGCCGGTCTTGGAGGTGGACATGTCGACAATCTTGCAAGGACGTCCCTTGATGACAACGTGACCGTTCTTCCGCAGAGCAGAGCACTGCATGGGGAAGGTGGTGGAAGCACCAGCGTCCGCGGACTCGAAGGTCTCACCCTGCATCAATCAACCAAATTAGCCATGACGACGGAAAATTTGACCCCATGCTGCGACACATGGGGGAAAAATAGATGCATAGATGATCAGAGATCCCATGAGTGTGTGTAGGTCGGAGGGGATCTTGAGGTGCGGGGCCGGAAGCACCCAACAGAGTGCACGCAGAAAATGCGAAAGGGAAGATATCGTGGGATAGAATTTATACATACGTGATCAGCCATGACGAAGGATTTTTTTTTAAAAAAAACGAAAAAAAATTAAAAAGAATTCAAAAGGGAAAGAGTGAGGAGAGATGGAACAAGATCCAAAGAGAAGATGGAGGAGAAGGAGGAGGTTTAAGAGAGGGGAGAGGAGGGGAGAACGAGAGAAAAATCGACAAGCCTTAGAAAGAAATAATCGGTTTCTTCCAATCGCTGCCGCCAAAAAAAATTGTACCAAAAAAAAAAAAAAGAGGGCAATTTTGTTGTGGCGGGGTTACCTTTACGGAGCTAGACTGTTCTAGGACTAGTCTCGGTGGTTTTGCACCCGCACTCGTCGGCTGACTCAGTTTCTTACTCATCAACGCGCACTATTCTAGATCCGGTTAGTCGACACTGATTGATCAAGCTAACCATTCTGGGACATCTATTATCGTGCCTGAGGCTTACGTAGTAAGTGTTCAGTTCACTTATCATCGACTCCCCGTATCTCCATGCGTCAATGGTCCACAATCCATAAGCCTCGAAATTGTTGCCCTCGATTGCCAGTGACTCTTGATAATTGCTTATTATTGATTGTACACGGATGTTCCTTGGTTTCCGGCTGATCCCTACGCCCAATCCCTCCGCCTTTCTCCCCTCCATGAGTTCCCATCATGTGGCTTGACCGCATCTCCGGCCATTCGAGTCCCTCGAGTCCTCAGGTCGACAGTCGCAGCAATTCGCCTCTTCCCATCCCTCGACGACCGTCTTCGCGTCCCTCCCCGTATGCGCAGAACAATCGCTCCACATCGAGCCGCCAAGGATCGTCTCTCTCGGTTCTCCTGAACCCCAACGACTCGAACACTTCTCTCCCCGCACTCCCCCGTGCCAACGATGGATCGACGTTGAAACACGGCGCTGCAAAGTCTCGTCTGTCGGATGTGGCAGATCCCCTTCA